CTTCTATGCTCTCCACAAAAGCGTGTTTTGGGTTTGTGTGTGTTTGTGTGTGTGTGTGTGTGTGTGTGTGTGTGTGTGTGTGTGTGTTTGTTTTTGTCATTTTGCAATTCTTTTAGAAAACTGCAATGTTATTTTCCCATTTTACTTGGAGATCACAGTTTCTCTCTAAATAATCCTTGATAGAAAAAGACCTATTTTTATGCTGTCTTCTGGCACTGTGGCATGTTATAGACCCAATCAAAGATTTGTCAAAGAAAAACAGTCTCCCTTTTGAAAGTGAATAAAATGTTCATTTACTTTGGTAAATCTCCTCTTTCAATCAGACCATCTGGATCTAAATTAAGGTACCCAACTTTGAACATGGGTATGCTCACCATCTGGCTACCCAAAAGCGGCAATTACTTCAGGTAAATGAACGTTTTACCTAATTCTGAGCAAGTATATTCTACTATAGAATTCGATGGCATAAATACACACCCTTTTTATCTGCCTGTTACACACTCACTTGAGGAAAAAGCGACTGTGTATTCTGCCTAATGGAGATAATTTACTGCTGTGTGTAAACATTTCAAATTTAAGAGAATTTATTTATTTATTTGCAATATTCAACAAGTGATACATTTCCCCTTTAGCCAAATGGCCAACAGAAATGAGAGGATTTGCCTCAAATAGAGAAACTTTGGGCTTCAATGGGGAACTTGTCTTCCAACCTTTCTCCATGGCAGTATGGGAGCCAGGAAAGGGAAGTCTTCCCTTAGGACAGGACCGGCCCCCTCCAAAACCTTCCAGAGCTCAAAGGTACAGGGCACATGGTGAAATCTAATTTTCCTGCCCTCACCCAAATTGTTTCTCTCAGACCTCTGAGCAAGGGGTTGAAAAATCAGATTGGGATTTTAAGGAGTTGTTTCCACACAGGCGAAGGGGACTGAATTGTAGTATTACACTTTTAAATATTTCAAGTTGCTTAGCATGACCCCTCATCGGCAGATTAAGTATTTATTTTCATTGCAGAAATTATCTGATAATTAAACTGACAAAAATGATGACTTACTAGAAACCAAGATATTTAATCATTAATCAGACGAAAAGTCTGAGTCTGCATCGGTGTCCTTTTGGAAAGTGTGTTTGAAAATGTCAATTTACATTGCATTTTGGGGATGAAAACATCACCGATAAAAGTTCAACCCTGGCTGAGTTCCTGATAATGGCATGTTTAAAAATGCTCCCAGTTGTTCTAGTGATAACAACAATCAAAGATAAAGGTTAATATGTATAATGTTGAGATAACTGTGAAATAGTTTATTCCATTCATTTTGCTTTATCAACTCTAGTTATCAACATCCAAGAAATTATCATATTCACTCTGGTATGCAAGGAGGCAAAAAAAGGGGTGGAAACAAGACTTTCTCTAAGATGCTGTTTAGAAATAAAACCACACTAGGATCTCCAGAAACATGGAATTCCACATTTCTGTTGGGATGCAGAGTTTAGCCACATATGCACTAAACTTTCAACCAAGTTATCTGCATCTTTGGAGAAGCCTTAGGAAGAGGGTGTGAATACAAATATGCACCACGGGCACAAGAAATCAGTTAGGGTCAAGCAGAAACATCTGGTCTTTTTGAAGAGTCCTGTTAATTTGAAAGCACTGACCAAAAACAAGCTCAGTTCCACCAAATCTATTTTGGCATGGCTCCAAAAACAGGATTTGTTGAAAGTACTTACTTCACCACAGATTGATCAGTAATGATATGCAGCTCCCACTACTGACATTTTGATACAACTAGTTTGTTTCTAAACCTAACATGCAAATTTGCCTTCTCTGCCTTTACCCTACATTTGATATGGTCGTGGGTTTAATCTGTATGCCTTAGAACAGCGGTTCTCAACCTGTGGGTCGCGACCCCCTTGGCGAACGAACGACCCTTTCTCAGGGGTCGCCTAAGACCACCCTGCATATCAGATATTTACATTACGATTCATAACAGTAGCAACATTACAGTATGAAGTAGCAATGAAAATAATTTTATGGTTGGGTCCCAACATGAGGAACTGTATTTAAAGGGCTAGAAGGTTGAGAACCACTGCCTCAGAATATGTTGGAGGAAGTGGTGGAAGGGGATTTACATTGTCCACATCTGATCTTAGGAGAATGAATAATTTATACATTCACTTATAGATTTTAACTATCATACAACTACTAAAGCATTGGACAATTTATTTATATGAGGTTACTTCATAGTACTCTATAAATAGAGTGTTCTCCCTAACACACTAGAATTTCCCCAGCCTCTTACACAATAACTTCTGGGAGTTTTCAGACAACATGAGCCCTAGCCCAGAGATCAGAAAACCAAAGTTCAAGTCCCAGCTCTCCACTGACAAGCCTGCTGCCCTCAGGCACCCTGGCTGCTCAGAGCCCAGTTTTGTGCAGTTGGGAGAATGACTTGAGAACAAAAGAGGCTCTGCCAGTGGATATCATTACTAATATCCAACCTGCCTCAACTTCTAAGGTTGCCAATTTCATTCTTTGGTTGTTCATAAATCCTACAGTCATTGATTAGGGCAAAAAGCAACAATAACTTTTTTATTCACTCAGCAATATGCTTGAGGGCTTACTACCACAGACACGCGTAATAGCTAACATTTACAATGAATACTCTAAATGCCAGGTATAGGGTCAAGTGATTCTCAGTGTATTAGCTTATGGACACCTGCAACAATCCTGAGGATAGTATCATTATTACCACCCCCAAATTAAAAATAAAAATATGGGCTCTGGAGCCACACAGCCCTGCTTTGTGGGCTAGGTGCCAAGTTACTTGAGTTCTCTTGTGCCTTCATTTCCCCATCTGTTATTCATTACGCAAGAAGCACTAGAGGTAATCGGGTGTTGGTGACTCAGATTTATCTGCTTGCTCAAGTCTGCGGCTGGGATTTGAACCCCGTGCTGTTGGACTCCCAAGTCTGAGCTCTAACAAGTGGAGCCAGACTCCCAAAAAATAAAAAACAGATTACTGCCCACATCTAAACATCATCAAGGCACTGGCTAGCAAGGCATTTGTGACTGGCCGCTAGCTTTCCCTCCTCCAAAGGAGTCAGAAACTCCAGAACAAACACCTGGAAGTCACTAGCCTTAGGCTGGAGCTGGGGGCTCCGGGCGCGGAGTACTCACCGGCCCCGCCCCTTTACTCTGTCACCGGACTGGCTCTCTCTTACTACTCTAAACCTCAACTTCCTGTTTTGGAAAACTTTATGCAGCTAATGCTCATTCTCTGCCAGATAATAGGCGAGGTGGGCATTTGGGGGCGGGGCGGGGGGAGGAAGGGGATTTGCTCTGCCCTTTCCTGCGCTGACATCTCCCCGAGGAGCAGCTGCCCTGGCCTTTTGTCGCTAACTTATATTTCCTCGACGGTAACTTGGCAGACTTTTGACATTACCCTGGCATCGCTCAGATTGCCCACTAGCCTTAAAAAAAGAGGCGAGCGCTGGCTGGCTAAGAAACTTGGACGGGGAGGGGTTCGCCACTGGTGAGTGAGTTTGTGGAGCTGGCAACAGTGAGAGCTCCGGCATCTGGGAGACCCTGAGGGTTCTGGGTGATCATCCTCCCCCACCTCACTTCTCTCCCCCACCCTTCGCTGCCCGGGTATCGGACGCCAGGCGGTTCCCGGGGGTCGCCGGCCGCCCAGCGGTTAGAGCAGCCTGGCGGGGTGGGGTGGGGCGCTGCCGGACGCCGCCTCCCTCCATACCTTCTCTCCCCGTGGAGCACGTAGGAGCTGCGGAAGAAGCCCAAGAGCTCATTCTCGATCAGGGCGTTGTAGATGATCTTCAGGTTGTAGTTCCTCTGCGCGTCCAGGGTCCTGTTCAGCACCACCACCAACACCTGGGTCTGCGGGTAGAGGAAGAAGCCGGCCACCGGGACAGCCCCGGCCACCCGGTCCTCGGCCACCTGCACCTTCTCCACGGCCACCCGGGAGGCGTGCAGCACGACGTAGCGGGTGGCGTTCCGGCACGCGATCTCCACGTTGACCTCGCCGGCGAAGGTGAAATTCTCCATGAAGGCGGTGAGCATCAGATTGTAGTGGAGCGGCTTGAGATGTCCGGACAAGCGCAGCTGCGTCCACGGCTGC